ACATTAGAGCTGGAGAAGCACAAGATGAGAATATAATTTTAGAAGAACTTTTAGAAAAAAATAACAAAACAAATGACATAATCCCTAAGGTAAATTAAATTATGATTAAAAATAATTTATATAAAAAATCTAACTAATATAAAATAATTATTAGTTGAGAAAACTTATAGTTAAAATTAGGGCTTCACCACAGCGTCGAGACAGATTTTCAAGCAAATGTGATCTTTATCCAACTGTTAAAGATTTAAATCTTATATTGGACGTCAAGACTCGCTGGAATTCTACGTATTTAATAATAGAACGTGCTCTTCAACTTCAAAAAGTAAGTAAAATTTTTAATCATTAATAAATACTAATAAAATAGTAATAAATTATTGAATTTTATTTAATTTTATAGCCTCTTGACGAAACAATTAGAATTGAACCCGAATTGGAAGGATTTTCAATTTCCTCAAATGAATGGCAAACATTAAAAGAATTATGTCGTATATTTGCGGTAATGGTTTTTTATTAAATTTTATTGCAATTGGTTCTTTTTATTTATTTTTAATTTAAAATTTAGGTTTTTTATAAAGCAACTGAAGAAATATCAAAGTCAAAATTTATTACACTTTCATCTTTCATTCCAATATATAATGTTTTACTTGATCATTTAGAAAATCTTCTTGATAAAAATAATAAAGACCATTATTGCCCAATTCCGGAATTAAGATCTGCTATAAAAAAAGGATACGAAAAACTTCAAATATACTATTCTAAGACGGATGAATCAATTGTATACCCAATTGCAACAAGTAAAAATTAATTTTTAAATCTTATATTTATATTTTTGATGATAATTCAGATTATTACTTATTTATATGCATTTTATCATTTTTTAGTTCTGGATCCAAGAATAAAACTAAAATATTATAAACAACAAGAATGGGAAGAAAAGTATATTAATGAAGCAATAAAAATTATTAAGAAGCAGTATAATGAAAATTATCAAGATGATTCATTTAATAATGATCTTAGAGCTCAGAAAACTGATTAAAATAATTTTTTTAGTCTTTTTGAAATGGGTGATGATAATGATTCTTCTAATGAAGATGAATTAGAAGAGTATCTTCGTAAACCTGCAGTTAATTTTAAGACGGATCCACTACAATGGTGGAAAGTAAGTAAATTTTTTATAATTAATTTATTAGCATCTAATACTTTAAATTAATCTAAATGTAACTATATTATTATAGGCACACGAAGCTACATATCCGCATCTGGCAAAGATGGCACGAGACTATTTAGCGATCCCAGGTAAGTATTTATTTGAATTTTTTATTTAACTTTTTCTAAGTTCTAACTTTTATAATTTTTAATAATAGGGACTAGTGTACCAGTTGAACGAATATTTTCTGGTGGATCTGATTTAATAACAAAAAGACGCTCTAGCTTGAAACCAGAAACTATTCAGACGTGCATGTACTTAAAAAATTGGATAAAATATCTTCGATAAATTAATAAATAGAGATAACTGAGCTGATCACTTTTTAAGATTTTATTAATTATTATAATTATAATCTTTCAAAAAATTTTCTATTCATATTTTTTCTTTTATAACATTAATTTAGATTAGTAATTTCTTTCTATTTTTTTAAATTTATTAATTATTATGTAATAGCCAATACAAGACAAATAAAATCAAACTGTGAAATGTGAATTTTAATTCTTATATATGTTATTTGATGTGTAAATTAAAAAATCAATTAAAAAAATATAAATATGTTATAATTTTTAACTTACAGATTGGCCGTAGTGTACCTGACCCGATCTGAAATACTAACCCATGGGTTGGGTCAGGTTAAAACTTTTTATAATCAGGTTGACATTTGACCCGACCCAAAAAAAATGAAATGGGTCAGGTCAGGTCAATTACCCGACCCAACCCGACCCATTCGGAGCTCTAATGGTATCCTTCATAATGACATTCGGGAGGAAAACATCTTAATTAATGATAATGACGACATCTACCTGATTGACTTCGGGATGGCAAGTCGGGAGGACACAAAAAAGAAGAGAAAGCTTTTTGAGGAGGAACATCTCAAATATTCTAACTTACTAGATAGATATAAAGCGTAAGAATCTATTATTTCACAAATTCCTGTACTGCGATTTTGTAATCTTAATTTCTTATAATTAATAATAATGTATTTTACAGACAATTCGTAAAGAAGGAGGGGTGAATTTCCAAGTCACGTAAATGTCAGGTGGTTAGTTGGCCTGTAGAATTAGACATTAGCATAGAACTATCATGTATCACAGGCTAAGTCCCGATCTTGTATTTATTTACTGTATAATAATAAAAAAATTGAATTTTGCAGGTATATATGATAAGCGAAAAAATATATAGTCATGGAACTGCCATTCCAGGGCTATAAAACAATTTATTATATCATAATCCTTAGCATAATGCTCGCGCTAGAGCCAATATATGTTCTGACCCTAAAACACTAGTCTTGGTGAATGCATCGTATAAAGCATCTGGTTTGTGCTTTGAAAGGGCTAAATCCGGGTGATGGAGGAATTTCATAAGCACGTCGTTCCTCCAAGTTTTCATCTCTTCTTGCTCCCAAGTTATTCCTATTAACGTAGTCAAGTTATCAATGGAATAGTTCATTTGGATTAGATTCTGGAGTGCAGGACATTTATTTTTTTCGAGAGTAAGTAGACTCGCTCCACCCATGACAGCAGATTCTACACTAATAGGAAAGTTTTTACGAATATCTGCTCTACTCGCTAAGATTGATAAAGGCGGAATTAGAGCTGGGTGGCAGAAGTCGTCTAAGGGTTCCAGCTCAAATTCACCTACATATATGATTCCAATATCTTCTAAATAATCTGAGAGTCTATCAACATATTTATAGCCTTCACGAATCAACTTCTGGAATAGCTTTCTGTTTGGATCGATCCATCGGCCGGTTAGAATGTTGAGTACTGTTTTTTCCGCGTACATAGATGATGACTGTGATATATGATTAATTGTTTACGATATACTTTTTACACCACAGTTCAATTCGGATTTTTCCATAATTTGAAATCGGATTTTATAATGGAAGTGAAGAAAGAATATAATAAATGGATCGTCTTACCTGCCCACATATTAGAAAGGATGGGAGTACTTGTAGCCGAGTCTGCACCCGCTTGGCAGGATGTTCGCTCCACTGGAAATCAGGTGCAAATAATATGCTAAAATCTCCATGCAGAATATGTGATAAACCTACATTATCTTATACGGGCTATTGTTCCAAACATGCCAAAAAAATCTATCGTCGCCTCGAAAGAGAGAGACAACGAATAAGTTGATCCCAGCTGAAGGCACTCAGGGTAAGGGATCGTGCCTACTTGTATGATTGTCATAAACCCCTATTAATATTTTTTTTTTCTTGGCAAAAGAGATCAGCATGAACAATTGTTCACGATCAGCTTACATATTTTCCGATTTTGAATACTAGCATTATAGAACATTAAAATATTATCATGTCATCCGAACTTGATTCATTGAGACAACGCATTATTGAGCTTGAGGCCGAGAATGCTGAGGTTAAGGCCAAATATATCAAAGTTATGGATGAGAATGCAGAGGTCAAGGCTGAGAATGCAAAGTTAAGGTGCGCTTTGAAAGAACATGAAGCTAGGTTCACGAGACTAGAGCAGAGAGATAAAGAAAAGACCAACCTTATTGCCAAAATGGATGATGATATCAAGGAAATCAAACAATCATCGACCAATGCCAGCTCTGTCGAAAATCCCAACAATGTTGTTCGCCTGGGTAAACTAGAAAAGATGGCAAAGCCATCAAATACATCTGATAGTACATTTAATTCTAATGTATGCAAACCTATTTGTACAGAAACTAAGTCATTGGAGGATAAAGAGACGGATGATTTCTTGAATGAGGAGTATAGGAGAAAGGTTAGCGATGAGATCAGGCAACGTAACAAAGAGAAGAAAATTCAGCGTGAGTCAACTGTCCCTTCCGACTTATCATGTGTTACAGAAACTTCTCTAAGAAATCATGATGAAAATGAAAGTAACACAAAAACCGTGAACATTGTTCACGATCAAGAAAAGATTTCATTGGAAGACTCTGTGCAAAAAATGCCTGAAAGACTTAATGAGGATGTTTCCCAGAGAGAATCGGATTCAGGCTTAGTCACTGAAATTGTACGAAACTTATTACAAGGATTTCTGGTGGATGATTTTCAGAGGGAATTTATTAATACTGAATTTATTGATAGAGAGCATTCTAATTCTTCACCTGTCACAGAAGAGCTTGCCCGTTTATTTCATCAAGCGAGTATAGCAAGGAAAAATTCGATCAAAGCTAAGCAGGAAGAGATTTCATCTTGGGGTCGATATTCTGAAAGATTCGAAGATAAGGTCATGAAGCTCAGATCTGAGGATAAAAATCTTAAGGATAAGACAGCAAGGTCCCAGATTTATAATGAAATGAAACCATACCTTTCAGGCGTTTCTGATGAATATTTGCGCAAAATAACAAGCAAAGCAAGGAAGATCAATAAGCTATTTGGATATAATTACGATCCTATAACTCTGAAAAAGATTAAAGGTATAGGATGGCATATGGTTAATCGGGTTACCTATAGTGCTGACAGTATTTCCAGACTCACTAACCTTCAAATTCAATACATTATAGATCGAGTGAACTTAAATGTCACCAATAAAACCGTGAACAATGTTCACGATCAGAGTCATGTGACTTCGGAAATGATCACTAGTGACACAACTGCTCTGATCCCACTGTTGAGCATGGTTCATATAACTAGCGAAAAAATCGTAAATGCATCTCAAACCATACCAGCTGAAGTACCAGCATTCTCTCAGCCAAATGCTTCACCAGAAATGATTTCATCAGACATGTCTCAAGCAAATGTACCATCTGCATCCCAATCTAAGCCCGATCATTCTTATTTTCGCAACAAGATATTGTATCAATATCCTAATCTATATAGAGAATGTAGTAGTAAAAATTTCGATTATTATGGGATTACTGATGAGACATCAGGGGACTATATCTGCCCATTATGCAAATTAGGTCATGATGATGAAGAAATAAAAGGTAGGTATAAAGCAGGATCTTACTTTATTAAATGTGAACAGCGTGAAATTGAGATAGTTGTGTAGTCTCATTGCTTTACAATAGTCTGGGAATTTTAATCTTTTTTTCGAATGAATAGGTCTATATGAGAAAAAAGGGATTTAAATTGTTTGCAGTCATATAAAAAGGAAAATGACTGAGTCTGTTAAAATACTAACCACCAATTATCTGGATTGGCATGCCAAATTAACTGGGTTACCAAGTATTTTGACAGATAAGATTCGTTCCAAATTGTACAAAAGATATAAAAAAGAAACTGGAAATGAGCCATGGCAACTATCAGAAGTACATAAATCGGAAGTTATAAATTTGATACCAGAAAACAAAGCATCATCTTTTCCCAAGCAATGTGAAGAAGAAGGGCCTATCACTTTCGAAGCCAGACCCAATCCAGAATTAATTATCAAATCCGTCTTAGAGCACTTCCCATACTTGAAATTCGGAAATAGTTTTAGAGGGATTGATAATTATAATTTTACATCACCTCAGCCGTGGAGCTCACCATGTCCTATTTGCGATGGAATACATGGGAATTATGGATTACATGGCAAGTGGTACTGCGAAGATGGGAATCAGTTCCCTTATGATCCTGAATTAGCGAAGTTCTATTCTCAAGATAAGTTGGAATATTGTCTTACCTGCAACACTTCAAGCAATAAACTAAAGTTCGCAATTGTGGCTTAGACCAGTCATGTGAGAGACTATCACCCAGCGCAGTGACGAAAGATAATAAGCAGTATGAAAAAATGCTGGCGAAAAAAAATATTACTTCTGGACAAGATATTTATTCAGTTAAGATGGATTTACTTTCGGTTGTGTTATGCATTTGCAAGGAAGAAACAAGCTAATAGACAATTTTTTTCATTTAGGATTTCGAAAAACGTATTAGTATCACGGAAGGCTAGCAGTCGTTCACATGAAAATTTTTAGTTTAAGTAGTGTCATCATGTAGCCTGTATTATGTACTTTTTTTCTTGTACAATCAGTAAAGCAAAGACCAAATTTACTAGTTATGGGGTTGTGGGAAGCATGTATGCTAATATTTTTTTCGATCAAGTTTATTGTAACAAAATCATTGATCCAAGAATCCGATAAATGCGCAGTATCATTCATGTATCACGGGAACAAGAAACTGCGCATAATAATTTATTCTCAAACCTTCTCGCATATTCTCAAAATTCTTACGTATATTGTTAAAGAAAGGCCCCTTGATGATCTTTAAATATGGATAGCGTTAAATTCTTTTATTGTTAAATTAAGGAGAGGTGGTTGATCAGATTTTCGTGATGCAATCATATTAACGTAATTTCCCCAAAAGCGTATTCCAAAATCGATCCTGTAAATTATATAAAAAGATGATGTCCTAATTAGTGAATCTTTTTATCCGCCTCATGCAAGTAAAATAAAAATCAAATAAAACTAATAAAACCAATCTAACTTACCATTATTTGCATCATTGATATTAACAATCAAGCGAACTCGTATTTTCCGCAAAGTAATAATAAAGTAAGTTGTTTATTGCTCGGCTAACTTCTTGAGACATGTCATTACGATGTTAATCGATTTTTCTGTCTCTATAGATGTTCCAAAATAAAACGGATATATTACTCTTCTTGCTATGTATCGGCATTCTGATCTTCGCCGAGAAAATCACTGACCGTCATCACGCGTACAATAGACGCAGTGAAATTACTCACATGAATCTCGTCACATGCAATGGCACAGCAAAAGTCTGGTGCATCAAAAAATTTATCTTATATAAGCATCTTCACGTGCCAAATTCTTAAAACTTTGCGCAGTATCGTACCGGCGATAACGCAGAAAAAATTAAGCAATAAATATCTTGTGTATGAGGCGGAATGGAATTATGTGAAAATGAATCGTGATGGTAAGTGTAAATCATTATTGTATTATTTTTTTTTTACCTCATTGCTAATACTTTCGTAATTATACTATAGGTTCGAAACTTCTTAATCTCAGAGAAGTTCTCTTTCGAGAAATAATATTTTGTATATTTGGGAGAGATATAGATAGACAAAAATACTGTAAATATTGGTGGGATAATTTATTTCGGAAATTTAGTATAGTAAAAGGCTGTGGGGTGAGAATCACATAATTAGCAATAGAAGTATAAACAAATTAGTTATAGATACTTTTCGTAAATGTAAGAGAGCAAAGAAATAACTTGATGCCGGGACTCGCATTAAATGGCCTAGGATCCGCGTACTCCCTCCCTCTTTGATAGCATCATACATTTCGCTTGCTACCTCCACTTTTTTATAAAGGAATCGAAAAATAAATCATTGTTTATGTAGTTCTTTTATGTGTAAATATGTATATCTTCGAACTCCGAAATATAACATCAGTAAAATCCAAAAAAAGTATACAAAATCAATTAATCAAATGATGTCATACCTCATAAGATATATAATAATGAGTATTCAAAAAAAATGTTCCTTAAACTTCTTTCTTAAAATTTTAATCAATGTCTTCTTCTTTCATTTATAAAGAAAGTTTTATCAATATCATATCTATCCTTCTCGTAATTTTTACTGCGTTCGTGGTCTGTTGTGATTATTAAGATATCTGAATTTACTATTGGAATTATTACTTATCTAAAGCCTTTCTTTTGTTAATTTTAGTTCTTTCCTATTACTTACGTTCTTCTCTTGATCGCTATTACGTCATACATTGGATATAATATTAGTAAGGGGATTACCCTATAAAAAATTTTTATTCGAATATTTCCATTATTTCTCCGTGTCTTCCGTAAAAATTCCGTGAAAATGATACATTCACGGATATCCGTGTTAGCGAGATGAAAATTTCCATGATTTAAGGCCATGAAAATGATACATTCACGGAAAAAACATGGAAAGATAAAACACGGATCAGATTTTTTACAGGGTTACTTATATCTTCAACAGAAGTAAGTCATTGGCTTGTTCACTTGTGTAACGTAAAGTCGTTAAAAACGGATTTCTCGTATTGAAAATTTTCATACTCTATTCCAATAACCATGGCGAACATGTCTAAAGTTTATTGCGAGAAAATAGATCTTGAAAATCTAGATCTCAAGAAGGTTTATACCTTCGAAGAGTTCGAGTACATAAACGACCAACTTAAGACTCGCACTATACAACTTAACGGAAAACCAATTAACCTCTTCGAATACGAAAACGGAAAATTAATCCCGATGCCTCAAACTCCGTACGCTAGAGAAAAAGTTGTTGCTGAGATTGTAAGACAGTTAGCTAACTGGAACATCGAAACGCATCAAAATGGAGGCGTTACCTCTTCGCAAGGTGGCTTTGATTTTAATGTCGGGGGACAGAGAACAATTCGAGCACCCGACGTTTCTTTCACTCCAAAACAAACAGACCGCGGTTTGAACGCACTACAAAATTGGACCTTCCAAGGTCAACCCTTCACCCCAATATTTGTTGTTGAGGTTGATTTTATTGAAAGTGAAGCACAATTCCAAGTATTTGACGATAGATTCAGAAATGAAATTTTTGCACAGGGAACATCTGTGGAGTTAGGATTTCTAGTTGACATCGGCCAAGATAATAACGGCCAACTGGTGGGAACTATCCATTCGTGGAAATGGTACGAAAATAGTAATGCTGTACGTCATTATGAACATGGATGGCGAAATATGGATACCAGGGTTAGCGGTCAGCAGATTCTTCCAGGATTCATCTTGGATGTTGAGATGATTGAAGAGGCTATCTCACAAGTATGTTGTGACGATTTATCATTGATGATTTTATTTTAGATCTTATCATTTATTTATTTCATCAAATGATTACAGCAAGATTCAGGTTCATCAGATGATGATGTTACTAATATTCCTTGTAACGGACCTGGATGTACAGCAACTTTTACTAGTCACCACGCTTTCTTGAAACACTACCAAAAGGAACATGCGCTTAAACGACGTACATGACGTACACAACCGATTATAATGTGTCTTAATGTTGCTAATTTTTTATGTGCAGTAATTTGATTATGTAATATTCATCTTGTAGAAATTTCGCATCATCTAACAACAATGCCATTTCTATTTTTCCATGTAATAATAGTAGTTTTCACAAGCCATAGGTATTATATAATTGCCCACTGATTTTTATTTTTCCGTAATGTGACTTATAATGCATATATATATTCGAATTTTTCCTATACTGTATTAAATGCAGATCAATTATAGTACACACACAATTCAACTACTGCGCCCAGCGGTCAGATTTTTTTTGTGTATTAAAGTATAAATAATAAAAAAAGGTTTGACCAGTGCCAGGGGAGCTAGGGTGATACCTGTGATACGATTACGTCATGCCATAAATCGCAATACCGCATGTACTGTAAATATAGCCACTATATAAATCCCCGATATGCTTGTAATCGAATAAAAATGAATCTGTTATTTTATTATAATATACTTGCTAAAACGCTATAAATCACTAAAGATCAGCTATAAACTATAAAAATGGTTAAAACTAACTATTCTGGTTTAAATCATGTAGTAGTGCGGGCGTTAAACAATCTGCATTACAGATATAGTAATGAAACGCCAAAAATGTGGTGTTCCCGAATTCGTGTTCCATTCAGGAAACTTATCGAATATAACCCAACATTCTTCTCAAAGAATGAATATATTCATATGACTGAAAGATTATATGAAGATGAGAAATTCGGACCTGGAAGACGTACATTTCATATTTATTGCACTGCATGTGATTCCTTAGTATTTATCTGTGAAAATACTGAGAAATGCGCAGATAAGCATCTGAATGAATGCATTGCTAAAATAGAGGAAAGGCGTGTTGCATATTATAGATCTATATTATGGAAACGAAAAAGTAAAAAAGCGCTTAGTGGTGATGAGATTGATGTAATTTATGGTAATATTTATTTTAGATACAGAAAAAGCACTGAATTTTATTGTTCTTGTGCTTCAAAAGAAATTAAGAAAAGTGTTGCATATCGATTAATTAATAGTGCAAAACTTATCCAACAGGCTTGGAGGAGTTACAAGTTGAGACCTGAGACATTGGCAAAACGAGTTTGGAATATGGTGAGGAATGATAGCACTCCTGATAGGAAGAAATATTTAGGTATACTTTTGACTTATGAAAGAAAAATAAATCCTCAGACTCAAGAAGAATATGATTTTCATACCGACGAATATGTCAACTGCCTTAAAAAAGCATATAACGAAAATATTGCTCAAAAATATATTAAAGAATATCTAACCGAACGGGCTACAAGGTACAAGGAATATATATATTATTCTCCTAGTGATTGGGCAGAAATGAAGAAATACCAGTTATATAATCGCCTAAATACTGTAGCATATATAGTTGCTTTTATAGTATTACATCAGCAAGGCTATAGAATCGTTACATATGGTGATTGGTCTTATATGTTAAAGTGGCTATCGAATCCTGAATATTACCGTATTAATGAATATTATAACAATGGCAATGTAAACTTTGTTAAAAGTTCAGAATATGCGCATTATAGATGTAAAATAACAGGCAAACCATATCCATGTGATTCGCTAGAAATTGACTATTTTAAATCTGAATATGGTTTTACTATTGAGGGAAAGTTTAACATTATAGATTTCTCAGATTCAAATACACAGGTCGAACAGATGTCATTGTCGCAAAATTTGCCTGGAATTTTTCTGGCAAATTGAGAATTATCCCGGTAAATTGAGGTAAATTGTGTTACAATTTTGGGATAATGGAGAACTTACAATTTGGCAAATTTTGTCAAAATGGCGGAATTCCTACAGAATTCCTAATTCAAATGTTGAGAAATTTTTCAGTAAATTATCATTAAATTGTGGGAAATTTTAGGCAAATTTTTAGTAATGTTATGCAAACGAAGTGTAAATTGT